ACCCCCTTCATGTCCCGGCTAATGGCTGACCTCTGCCGGCTGCTGCGGGTGAAGCAGTTGAGGACCACGGTCTACCATCCCCAGACCGACGGACTGGTCGAACGCTTCAATCAAACACTCAAGCAGATGTTGAGACGGGTGGTCTCAGAGGATAAACGCGACTGGGACCTGATGCTCCCCTATGTCCTTTTCGGGATCCGTGAAGTCCCGCAGGCCTCAACTGGCTTCACCCCCTTCGAGCTCCTCTTTGGCTGGCAACCCCGCGGCCTCCTGGATGTGGCGAAGGAAGCCTGGGAGCAGCAGCCGGCAGCCCATCGCTCTGTCATCGAGCATGTAAAACAGATGAGGGAAAGGATCGACCGGGTCATGCCATTAGTGCAGGAACACCTGACGAAGGTGCAGCATTCTGTCACAGATCCAGGAGGGTGAGGAGCATCCAGTCATCTACATCAGCAGGAAGCTGATCCCGCCCGAAAGGAACTACGCCGCGGTGGAGAAGGAGGCCCTAGCCGTCAAGTGGGCAGTCCTGGAGCTGTGGTACTACCTCCTGGGCCAGAAGTTCACCCTGGTCACGGACCACGCACCCCTTCAGTGGATGGCCCGCGCCAAGGATACCAATGCCAGGGTGACCCGATGGTTCCTCGCGCTCCAGGACTTCCACTTTGAAGTACGTCATCGGGCTGGAGCCGCGAACGTCAACGCGGATGGCCTCTCTCGGATCTGGGCAGCTTTCGCAGGTCTGTCAGGGGTCACTCCCCACCCCCCTTCTATCTCTCCCCTACTATCTCATATCGTTATCAGGACCAGGACGACGCTTAGGTGGGGGGAGTGTGATGAGCGTCCCGAAGCTTCATTAGCGTCGCCCTGGAAACAAGCGAGGAGCACCTGGCCATCATCATCACAGGCTGATCGGTCACAGCTGCACCTGATGAGGTGCAGCTGTGCTAGCATTTTTAAGTAACTTTTTTTTTCAGTGTGATAAGACAAAGCCATATGGAAAGTATTTTACTGATGATACCATAATTTACCCTGTAATTTACTCTATTTGCTGACAGTATGAGAATGACATGTTAATATCTTCTACAAATTGTTTCTGGTTGAGTTTGACAAGTTAGTTTTAAAAGAATGTGACAGTTCCTCTCAGCTGCTCTACTTTACATCCCATTTTTCATTTTTAATCATTTTAGCTCTTTCATAGAGTGGCCAAATTGAAGTAAATTCCAAATCTGCTGCCCGGGGCACATCAATGGGAGTCATGACAAGGAAAAACGAATGGAGTGGCGTTTTAATCATTCTGTGCCTTTAAGCGCAAGAACCAACCGCAGAATGAGCTTCGACTTTGCGCGTTGTGAACTTTAGGTGTTCAGTGTAAACAAAAAATGTGAAATGATATGTGACTTCAAAGTGCTGCAGAGATTTGCTGTTGCACGGTGCTAAAAGACAGTTTAACGGCCCTGGGAACTTACATGTGTGACCACAGGCTACGAAAGGTTTCTTGAAGCCATTGTGCGTGGGTGATTTGTTAAACATGTCAGAAGATGATATGCAGAAGCCTTCCCGCGGCAGTGAGTACATCCATGGAGCAAAAAGATCTGATGAAAACACTTAAACCCAAGATGAGCCAAAAAAAGGCTATTTTAAAAGGAAGCCACACTACGTGTCAGATACGTTCTGTCAGCATGTTGTGTATCTTATTTAAAGGTCAAGGTGATGTCAACTTCACTGTCAATGGCATGTGGCAGTAATATGTTTTACTTAAGGTCATGAACTTCAAACAGGTTTGCACATATTTGGTGAGGGGCACTTGATGAAGTAATAAAAAAAATCTTTAAAATGCATAAAGAAGACTATTATTAAACAAAGCAGATGAGCACAATTTTTGACATTTAAGCTGATAAATACATTTTTGTAAGAAGGATTCATATACATTTCTTTTATTGTGCAAAAGTCTTGTATTTTCGCCAACAAATAAATGGTTTTAAGTCAGTTATTTCTATCTTTTGCTGTAGGAAATATCAGTTCCCTTTCGATACTACACTCGTACTGCGTCTTGCTAGAAGTATTAGGGGAAAAGCCTTTTTTTCTCCGGAACTGAAGCCTTTTTACATTCACGCAGTGAAACTGCACGGCCATTGGTTCGTGCAGTGTATTAAAAACGAACCAATGGCTAGGCAGCGGAGCTGCACGAACTTATGGCGACAAAGCCCGCCAAAGCCTGCCAAAGCCCGCAAGAATGGGCAGGGCATCTGGCTATAGAAGCGGGCGTTCGCCACAGGATTCTTTGATTTCTTCTCCTTCAGTGATGACTCTACGTCTGTACGCTGTTCCGAAGCCGCTCGCCGTTGACACGCCATCACAGCTGGAATCGGGACCTCTCAGCACGCCTGACCTGCTTCTCCGCTGCTTCAGCGACGCAGCAGTTCCGGTCCTTTTCCCCTGCCACCATCTGGCGATACTAAAAGAGCTACTAAAAGAGCCTGGCATTGTTGCAAATGCCACGTCGTTACTGCGGTTCGTGCAGGTCTCCCCTGCACGCCGATGATGGCCACACGGAGTGCATTTCTTGCTTGGGGAAATCCCATGCGGAAGCTGCGCTCACGGGAACTATTTGTTCTCACTATGAGAACTTCAGTCTCGCCTCTCTCCGCTCACGGATCGCTTTCTTTTCAGAGAGCGGCTCTGCCCCTCGCACCCTTCCATTTTCTTCCTCCCAGGGATCTGTGAGGAAAAAACAGCGGAGCAGAGGACTCGAGTGACTGGCTGCAAGCGAGCTCACGTTGGCCCAGATCCCGCGTGCCTCGCTCTCGCCCCAGAGAGAGTATTCTCCCATCCTTTTCTCCCAGTCTGATCAGCGTCCCTCTGCTGGTGCGAGTGACCTGATCTCATTTGGGGGAAGTGAGGACGAGCTGCTTGATGACAGCATGTCATCAGCAGCATCGGATGCAGAGGAGCTGTTGGGCTCGGTGACTGACCACACCCCCTCGCCATCGTCCGCGCCCAGCGCCACCAAAGACGGGATGGATGCCGAGCTTCTCCGTATCCTCTCCAAAGCGATCGAAGAGCTGGGTTTAGAGTGGTCTCTGCCAGAGGAGCCCTCCCACAGTCATCTGGATGAGTGGTTCCTGCCGGGGTGCCGCCAGGCCCCTCATCAGCGTTCCTCTCCGTTCTTCCCGGAGGTCCATGACGAGCTCACCAGATTGTGGCGCGTTCCCTACTCCGCCCGTCTCCGTACTTCTTCTTCATCCACCCTCACTTCCATCGACGGCGCTGAAGAAAAAGGGTACGATAAGCCACCTCCCCTAGATGAGTCAGTGGCCGCGCACCTCTGACCGCCCACGGCCATCGGCTGGAGAGCAAAGGCCGCTCACCCGTCCAAGCCATGTAGGACCACTTCAGCTCTCGCTGGACGCGCCTACACTTAAGCTGGACAGGCGGCTTCGGCTCTTCATTCAATGGCGGTCCTCCAGGTCTTTCAGGCTAAGATCCTCGCATCCTACGATGAGTCTGGCCTGGACTCCGCGACCCTCAGGGAGCTGAGGAGCGCAACCGACCTTGTTCTGCACGCCACGAAGACCACCACTCAGGCGATCGGGAGATCGATGGCCAGTACCTGCCGCCCCCGCCGTTCAGCCCGCTAAAGTGCAGCAGACGCGGGGACACTCTCGCTTGGCCAAACGCTACCCTCTTCCTAAGTGCCAGGGACCCTGACCCAAGATTGCATTGGACCCGGCACCTCAGTCGTCATCCTGATCTGCGAGACAGGAAGAGGACGGGGCCAGATCTCACTACGGCCGG